TTAAATAATTAATTTTTTTATTTATTATAATTTATGATATTAAATACATTTACTCATTTAATAATATATAAATATTACATAAAAAACAATATAAAAAAATTATTCGTGTACCCACACCCATTATAATGCAGAGATGTATAGATTCCATGGAGAGTTACATATATGACCTTTATATAGGTTTTACAGTAGAACAATTACATTAAAATACACTTAATACAATCTACCCTCTTAATATTATAGTTTTTAATATTCTATTACAAGAAAAATTATGTTATTAATTAATAATTATTTTACAAATAAATTTATGCGTCAATATATATAATTATTAAATTATATAAAATATTAATTAAAATTAATTTCATGGTAAATACTTATAAAATATTGGGTTAAAAGTGCGCAGCCCCATTGAAGAAGAAGATCGGCGTTACTAATTAATCACCACGTTCACATAGCCGCCGAAACAACTCCATTTTTTAAAGGCAATAAAAAGTCTAAATTGTAGAGCGCTGGTAGCATGATGGCAAAACCGAAGAATACCGTCAGTGGCCCAAAAATCCAGAGGAGAAGAGGCAGAGCTGTGTAGAAAAGCCGGTTGCCCACGGTGTTGAGGAGGAATCCCGTCTGTAGGAGCTCCGTGCCGTACGCCGGGTTGGCGATGGAGATGGGATTAGGAGGAAGGTTGATGTGGAAGGTGGCTTGGTTTATGAAGCGGATGGAGAGGGTGTGGCAGAAGAAGGAAAAGACCAAAAAACAGAGCACAGTCACGTACTTGAGTGCCGCCGCGAATTCTCCGTGGGAGCCTAACGCAGAGTCGTTCAGCGGCTTCTTGACTGCGTATGTGCTGCTGAGGATGGCTGCTAGGCCTGCGGTGAGGAAGATGCAGGAGGTGGCCATGAGTGTCGATCCCATGATTGTGTTCCGTAATGATTGGACAACGAAGACATTCTTTTTGTCATTGTCCTGTAATGAAGAGCACACACACTAAATTACTTTGAAAAACAGAGGTAACTTCTCAATAGTTAAGCACAAATTTATTAAAAAGATTCAAGAAGAGCCGATGGAAAGAGATTTTGAGGGAGGAGAGAGAAGCCAGAGAGACCTTCATCACAGCCAAGACCCAGAAGCGTCGTGCGGTGGTGTTTGTACCGATCACGGTGGAGTTGGGCTGGGTTCGAACCTTATGCCACAACCAGCAATGGTAAGCTATGGACATGAGAATCCCCAGAGGAACCAGAACGATGTCTAGATAGCTTTCCCTCCACTTCATTTTTGTCTTCTTTTCTGAGTGTTTTGTGGGATCTGTCTCAAAAGCCGGATGGGTTTATATCGGTG